ATAACTCAATTATTTTTCATTCAAATATGCAACTCATTTTTATTTTTAAAAATCAGAAGAAAGGCTTTATTGACATGTCAGAAAATATAATATAGGGTGTCCTATTGAAAAAATGAAAGTTACAGTCCTTTACGAAAAAACGAATGACCCTGTATGTGAAACAACTTCATGAAATAAAAGTTTTGGTCGTTTCAAACAACTTTTTTATTCGAATCTCTGAAAAAAAAAGAGTTGAGGGGAAAGGGTCCATTTTGAGGGGCGCACCCTGTACTTGCTTTCGGAAATACCCGGTTTTTCGTTCGGAAATTTGAACGAAAATGTGATGTTTTGTAGAGGTCGACGAAAACCTATTTTATTTCTCAACTTCAGTTTAGTTGCTTCCATACAAAAGTTGTATATTTGGATAATAAACCACAGGAGAGAACAATATACATCAGAAAAGTTGGCTAATTTATCAGAAAACGTGAGCAGAACTTTCTGTGCCTCTAGTGCATACAAGCAGTCCATAAAAGTTTTCTGGGAATAAGAGTACAATTTCAATACATATCCAAGCTCATTCATCACTAAATGTCTGTCTGAATCAATCAATTTCATGGAAGTTGAAATTGAACAATTTGATACGTTATGCAAGATTTTCATCATTCCCGTAATTATTATGGAGGTGTACAGAGTGGAAAACTTTTAATGTTTGAATAGGGTAACTAGGAAAGTAAATGAGATACAAGAAATGAATGTGATATTCTCGAGACAAATTCATTGGTCAATATGTCAATAATCGTTTTATGCTTCAGAGTTATAAACAGACTTTTAGTCACATGTGAATATAGTGGTTGTTTGTAAAATTAGTACAGGCATTCTTTTCTGGATAATCCAGTGGCGTTTTCTACAGGGTGCCTGTAAAAGGTCTTTACAAAAACATACCACATATTCCTCAGACCAAAATAAGTCGATTTGAGTAAAATTATATTAGTACAAAGTTGCATCGTTTGGGCTCCAGAGGGCCTTGAAGTTACAATTTTTAAATCGTTTTTCCCATATAAATTTGAAACCACATATGCGATTTTGCTGAAATTTTGTATATTGATAGATTTTTATGCGGCAAAATAATGGTGTTAAAATTTTGCCTGATAATGATACATAGGCGTGGAACTTGATTTTTTAAATAATTGCACCTTTAAAAATTCTACGCCAATGGAAGAAGAGGCGTTTGAGTATGAAATTCAGATTGCGCAACTCATTTACTTTAAAAAAGGTACTCCTGATAAGACTCGATTGCTCTCATGGTTTTGACGAAATTTGCATTTTTGTAATTTTAGAACATAAACAATAATTATTAAAATACAAACTTTGTCAAAACCATGAGAGTAAATCGAGTGTTATCAAGGGTACTTTTTTGTAGTAAATGAGTACCTAATCCAAATTTCATACTCAAACCCCTTTTCTGCCATTGGCGTAGAATTTTTAAAGGTGCAATTATTTGAAAAATCAAGTTAATTTTCTTCGACGTATAAATCTTTGTATGCGAGAAAATGGTGAACATTTTGAAAATTTTTGTGAAATCTCTATTTATTTTGATTATGTTGTGAATAAATATTTTTGTGAAACCGATACACTCTAAATTATTAAAACAGAAATTTAGCGAAAACCATGAGAGTAATCGAGTCGTATCAAGAGTACCTTTCTTGAAGTAAATGAGTTGCGCAATCTAAATTTCATAGTCAAACTCCTTTTATTCCATTGGCGTAGAATTGTTAGAGGTGCAATTATTAAAAAAAACAAGTTCTACGCCTATGGATCAATATCGGACAAAAATTCAACACCATTTATTTGCCACATAAAACTCTATCAATATATCAAATTTCAGCAAAATCGCATATGCCGTTTTAAATTTATATGGGAAAAACGATTTAAAAATTGTAACTTCAAGGCCCTCTGGAGCCCAAACGATGCAACTTTGTACTCAGGTAATTTTACCTAAATCGACTTATTTTGGTCTAAGGAATATGTGGTATGTTTTTGTAAAGACTTTTAACAGACACCCTGTATAATTTAACCAAGAAGGTGAGTTTAATATATGACATCAGTATTTATCCATATGTGAAAAAAATGCATATTAATTATTTCGTTCCCGTCATAGGCACAACCGACTCATTTAAAAATGAAAATGGAATTATCTTACGAAAATCACGAGAAAGGTTTATTCAAATTTACTAATGAACAAATAAACAATGCTATACTGTCTATAGGTTAATCGAGGAGGTGGTACATTCATTGATCCAATTTTTTTGGGATTTTCTCTCCTCGATTCTATAAAAAAAAATATGAATATTATTTCAATATACGTGTAGCAAGGACAAATCAGATGATTTGCCCCAAAATGTCACTGCGTTTAAAGAATTTTCCTATCAGAGTCATCCAGTAATCTTTCCTATCAGAGAGCCAAAAAGAAAAATTCACTAGCTTGTCAGTGACAATTTGTATAGAAAAAAGTTTGGAGAAGAGATATTTTCACTTATCTTTGTACGTTTCGGGACCGATTCTGCTCTCGTTTTCAACAAAAGATATGATTATTTCAATAGCTAAGTCGTATTTGTCTTGAAGATTTTCAGTTTTCATTGACAATTATTGGCGACGTTAGCAATCAAATGAGTTACAGGATGTTTTCATTAATTTATCTTGAATTTACCATTTTCATGTTCAGATTTTAGTAGTGAATACCATGTTCTGTCTATATCAACTGAACAAGAAGCCTCTTTACTGAGACGGACAACATATGGCGGAGTGGAATAATATTGAAATCATTGGAAAAGGAGATAACAACCAGAAGAGAAAAATCAAGGAATCTGCTTGCATTCTTCTGGACGGAGACAATAGCATTGCTTCTTTTTCAGTTGATATAGACAGAACATGGTATTCACTACTAAAATCTGAAAATGAAAATGGTAAATTCAAGATTAATTAATGAAAACATCCTGTAACTCATTTGATTGCCAACGTCACCAATTGTCAATGAAAACCGAAAAGCTTCAAGACAAATACGACTTAGCTATTGAAATAATCATATCTTATGTTGAAAACGAGAGCAGAATCGGTCCCGAAACGGCCAAAGATAAGTGAAAATTTGATATTTCTTCATATTATACCTTAATTTCTCTTCTCCAAACTTTTTTCAATACAAATTGTCACTGACAAGCTAGTGAATTTTTCTTTTATGCTCTCTGATAGGAAAATTCTTTAAACGCAGTGACATTTTGGGGCAAATCATCTGATTTGTCCTTACTACATGTATATTGAAATAATATTCATATTTTTATTTTATAGAAACCAGGAGAGAAAATCCCAAAAAATTTGGAATAATAAACAATGCTATGATTGACACCCGCCTACTTGTCATAGGTATATACAAAAAAATCACCAAGTGAGAGGATATAATTCAGGAGAATATTATCATTCATTATTGAAGAATTGATTACACATCAGGAGTGTCTAAGAGTTGAAACATAGACATTTTGGTTATAACTCAAAAACAAAAGAGGAATTTGTCTCGAAACAGAGAATTTTATCAGGTGTTTAACTTTCTTTACTTGAAGATTGTGAACAAAATTGAGTGATCCATTCGTTTTTTTTATGAAACTCTGGGTTCGATGTCCGCTAATCGCTACTCAAATAAAATCAGGACCATGTAAAATAAACTAGTCAACATTCAAAACGTAAAACCAAAAATGTTTCATTGATTTCGAATCATTAGGTATAGCTTCGATTTCCGCAAGTGATTTCCAGACTCTGAATGTTCGTTCTCATTGGTTATCGAATCTGTGATCTGATAAAATAGTTCAAATAGATATTATATTCTCTACCATATTACAAAACGAGTAAGAACATTTTTAAAGGGCTCGTGATGGGACAGGACATTTTAGTTTTTTTTCTAGGTCGAAAACTTGTTGTTGTTTTGAAAAAATGCATGATTTGTGGATATGTAGCATTTCCATAGAGCTGATATAATTTACAAATTTTTTATTTGGTATGCAACTGTTTTTTTTGAATGTTCGAAAATCTTTTTTGCCACCAAAAGAATTATTATTCTGAATCCGACCACATATTGCACTTTACAATAATTACCCAACGTTTCGAACCTGAAAATCATCATCAGTGTTATTTGATGATGGATACGAGAAAACGAAACGTCGAATCAAAAATCTGAAGACGGCCACTTGTAGAGAAGGAAAAATGGCTACGAAACTGTTGGATTTATTTAGGCCTATCTCTTTTAGTGAAATTAATAAAATCAAAAGTTAATCTTGAAGATTTCAATTCTACGGAATACTTTTTTCTGATTTCATTAAGAGATAGACCAAAATGAAGTCAATTTTCGTTCTCTACAAGATGTCGTCATCATATACGTATTAATAATCAATACGGATAATCTCTATCTGTTTCCATAGCGAAACATGAAGCCGATTTTTGAAGACGAATGACTATCCATAAGGAAAAGTTTTGAAACGATCAGACACATACTGCTTTGATTGAAAGGCTAGTAAACGTCATTGTCCACCGAAACGCATGTCTTTGGTGACTACTATAATAGCGCATGGCGCATGCGTATCATGCCACCAAATCCTTATGGATATTCATTTGTTTCATATTTTTGGCTTCATCCTGGCACCCGTTATGATCCGTATTGTTTATTAATACGTATATGGTCGTCATCAGATTTTCAATCCGATGTTCCGTTTCCTCGTAACCATCAACGAATGGTCCAAAACTTCGGATAATTGTAGAGTGTAATATGTCATTAGATTCAGAATCAAAACTAGAATTCTTTAGGAACAAAACATTCAAATGTTAAGAAAACAAAGTTGATGATGGCTCCTTGAAGACGAAACGTCGGTTCACAAAGTCAACTTGTCAGTATGAACGAGTATGAACAGTTCCTCATGACTCACACTGTATTAGATAACCTGTATATACATTTTGTAATATCTTATTTTGACGCGCTGCAATTAATCCTGCAGAAAAAATCTATCACCAATGAAAGGAGCATTCAGGCACTCGATTGAAATGGGTAATCGGTCGTGGAAATCAGAGAATTTGATGGACAATTTAATCCATGCATGAAAAATCTCACAAGCCGCGTGATTTTGTCATTATGACAGCGAAAAAAGTTTGTCCTAACTTTTCCAGCGACAATAACAGAACCTAACTTTTGAAAGCATGACAGCCAGCCATAAACAAATGTTTCATGAGTTAAATTGTCTCACCAAATTACACTCAAGCTTTTTTTTAGTCGCAGTAAACTTGGCATTAATAATTCGAATTTTGTTGCCATTAGGTAATTCAACTGAAAAAACTGCCTCTAAAAAAATGACGAGGCAGTTTTTCTCGTCAAATTGCCAGACATCGAAATTCTTATCGATACATGTCAAGTTTACTTGGACAAAAAATACTCTCCTGTGATTATGAGTGAACATTTTCGATTTTACGTTTCGAATATCGAAAGTTCCATTTCAGAACGGGAAAAAAAATGGGTAATTTTGCACTTATCATGCGATGTTTTTTTTTTTCGGAAAATACGAATTTTCGTCTGAAAAACACGAATTTCACAAGGAAAATATGAACAAACCACTATTCATCGAGATATTCCACGAAAAAGTTCGAAATTTCACCTCCTCTTGCCAACCATCTTGGATCGCCCTTCTTTTTTCATCACTGGACACTTTATATACTCTCGTTGTACTTCGAAGACACATTTTATTTATTGAAATCAACTGAAAGTATGTTTTTTTCGGCGATTTTTCCATATTCAATGAAGTAAACAAGAAGATGAACCACATATTATGGCAGAGTGGAATAATATCAAAATCATAGGAAAGAAAGATAACAACCAAAAAAGAAAAATCAAGGAATCCGCTTGCATTCTTCTGAACGGAGGCAATAGCATTGCTTCCTGTTCAGTTGATATAGATAAAACATGGTATTCACTATACTGAAAACTGAACATGAAAATGGTAGATTCAAGATCAATTAATGAAAACATCCTGTAACTTATTTGTAGACTATAATCACTCATTCACATGCCAACATCAGCATGACAATGACACTGAAAAGTGTCAAACTATAAGCAGCACAACTTCCAAAGAGAAATATTTTGCATTTTCATGTTGAGAACGGGAGCAGATTCGGTCCCGAAACGTCCAAAGATAAGTATAAATTCGATATTTTTTCAATATATTTCCTTTGAACATTTTTTCAAACAAATTGTCACTGACAAGCTACTGGATTTTTCTTTTAGGCTCCCTGATAGAAAAATTTGTTGAACGCAGTGACATTTTGGGGCAAATCATCTGATTTTTCCCACTACAAATATATTGAAATAATACGCATATTTGTATTTTATAGAAACGAGGAGAGAAAATCCCAAAAAATCAAGTAAAATTAATACTTTCAGTTGATTTTAATTAATAAGATGTCATCATCGAAGTACAACGAGAGTACATGAAGTGTCTGGTGATGAAAAACCAAGGACAAGTAGTTGCAAATGCGATCCAAGATGAGTGGTAAAAATGAGGTGAAATTTCGAACTTTTTCGTGGAATATCTCAATAAATAGTAGTTTGTTCACATTTTCATTATGAAATTCGTGTTTTTCACACAAAAATACGCAAGTAGCAGACAACATTTTCGAGAAAAAAAACCATCGCATGATAAGTGCAAAATTACCAAAAAAAGGTCGGTAAAAAATGCTAGCGTACCTTCTTCGAGAGCCTCGTCCCCATCCGAGACCAGCTCGTCGTCGGAGCAGATGTTGAGGACGTTGACCAGCATCTCGGTGACTTTTTCCCCCACGAAGGGCAGCGACCACGTGAACACGTCCATGAAGTTGGGCAGCCAATAGGGGTGCGGCGAGAAGTTGAACTGGCGGATGTTCATCACGTTGTTCTCGTACTTGAGTACGGCAGCCTGAAATCCAAATTGTGCAATGATATGCAAGCACTCAAGCAGGTAGTTTTGATTTTTCGAATTCAGGGGGTATTTGTCATAAAAATTACGACAAACACGCCTAAAGACTCTCACCACTTTCATTTATCAGTCGCTAGCATCACAAGCTAGCCGTAGAAGCAAGTCTACAAACATTTTAGGGAGGGCTGAATGGAAACGTTGTCATGAGTTTTTTCTTCGATATCTTGGAGCGCACGGACGGAAATTCCTATAATGTTCTTGGAACATCGCGCGTTCCTAAGGAGGACAGGGAGAGGAAGTAGGTGTAGGGTTTTTTTTTGAACTTTTGGAGGTTATGAGTTTTTGGGAATACTTCCATTGAATATATATAAACAGTGAGAAGCTCAAAGTCATATCAACACAATGTTCATAAAATGAACAACAAAGGTAGATTTCGGGAGAAAAACAACAACTTTCCTAGCTAATGCCACGCAGAACATTGAATTACATCCTTCCGAAATCTATGCATCGACTCGATTATTTCCTGAATGCCTATTAATTTTTTTTTTTTTTTTTGTATATCGCTACTTCAAAGTTGGGAACCAACTCCCCAGAAGTCGAAACTTGTGCGGGGTAAGGAAGAGCGGGACCTACAGCTTATAGTGGAATCCGAACCACTTCTAGGGCATCGAGGTGCATCAGCAAGGCCGTATACACCTACAGACTGGTTTCGAGCTCTTTGACTCTCATCAGTGCAGGGCACTCTCCAGGCAGTAGTCCTAAGACCGTCGATTAAACGTATCCTAGCAAAACAAAACTCAAGTAGGCATTATATTCCCCCAGAGGCATCTTTCATAGACAATATGGAAGCAACGCCATTTGAGTAAAAAAGAAGGAAAAAAACACTCCAAAACTGAAATTCCCACACGGGAGTTGCTGGTTCTCATATAGCACTCGACGTCCTGGGGACATCCAGTTTAGGTCCCATCTAGGTCTGAACGTATGGGACCTTTTCAAGACGTACTGAAAACGTCCATTTCTGGACGTACTGGGTACGTACGATTCCGGGATTGAATAAATTGTTTGATGATAATCGAAATCATTGCATATAAAGTTTCTACCCTCGATCTCTGGAATATATTCATATAGGAACCTTGCAAACATAAACATAATACAATGCTCACAATAAATTCATTATTTACTGGCCCCACCAGATCACAAAACATCTATTTAGGTATTCTCTGCCGTGATTATCTAATTCTATAAGAGTATTGATGTGATGAGTCAATCGGCATTCGCACATAATATTGCTTATTGTTGTATACTGTTGATCAAAAAGTGTTCTTCAGAGTAATAGGATGAGCAGCTGCCTGGTGATCTAAAGGTCGTGGGATCGATCCTCGGTATAAGCGTTTTTTTTTAATTTTTTTCATTCAAAATAAGGATTTCTACTTTATCTGAATCTCTTTTTTGACTATCTAAGTGAAAAGAGGCGGATCTACGTTGATTCATGTATCCATGGTCCTGAATGGATGGATGTACAAACGCGCGGAATCTGGACGTCCCCAGTACGTACTTGAACGTTGACCGTACCAAATCTGGACGTCCCCAATACGTACGAAACGTCTTGGCCGGACGTTCTCAGTACGTTTTGGAAACGTACTCGTGCTATATGAGCCCATATAGCACTCGACGTCCGAGGACGTTCAGTTTAGGTCCGATTTAGGTCTGAACGTCCGGGACCTTTTTAAGACGTACTGAAAACGTCCATTTCTGGACGTACTGAGTAGGTACGTACGATTCCTATGTACTGGGTACGTCCAACTTTGGACGTTAACGACCTTTAGTGGACGGGATGGAATGAAATTGTGAAGATAATGATAATTGAAATCATCGCATATGATTTCTACCCTCGTTCTCTGATATCTATTCATTTAGGAACGTTGCAAACATGAACATAATACATTTGTCACAATTCATTTTTTACTGGCCGTACCTGATCACAAAACATCTATTTAGGTATTCTCTGCCGTGATCATCTAATTCTATGCAAGTATCGATTTGAAGGGTCAATCGACATTCGCACATAATATCATGTTGTATACTGATATATATCATAAGTCTTCTGTAGATCAAAAGGTACAGCATCTGCCCCTTAATATAAAGGTCGTGGAATCGATCCTCGGTAGGAGCACTTTTTTTCAATATTTCTATCCAAAATAAGATCTTTTCTACCCTGTCTAGGTCTCTTTTTCAACTATTTGAGTAAAAAAGGGCGAATCTACGTTGATTTAGGTATTCATGGTCCCGTTCAGACCTGAACAGGTCCTTTATAGGAAGTAACCTCTGGTTATGTAACATCGTATGTCCCCAAAACGTCCTGAAAACGTACGCCGTACCTGAAATGAGCGTTCTACGGACGTTTCCAATGTCCGAGGTGTACGACTTGAGGACGTTTCCAGGACGTTTTTGTGATATCTGGGTTGAACTGAATAATGATTCTGAAATACGATTGATGCTTTCTGAAATTCAATCGGCTATTCTGAAATACAATTGATGCTTTTTGAAATTCAAGTGATCATTGTGAAATAAAATTGACTCTTTCTGAAATACAACTTGAAAAAGGGTAGAATGCCTCGAGTAGACGTTATAGAGACGTGATCAGGGAATTATCAGGACCTCCTCAAAAGATCATCGAAACGTCTTTGTGTTATCTGGGTGGAATGTAGAATATTGATTAAGAGACATACTGTTTTCAGGTCGGCCATATTCTTACATGAGATCAATTGCATTTTTTTGCTCTTGGCCTGGCCTAATTACGCTTTTAGCTCTAATGGGCGTCAAACAATTAGCACTAATTAGAATCCCAAATGTGACTCGACTGATGCCGACTTGGCTGCTGAATAATTCAAAGAGCATTGTCAGTTGATCTACGAGTATGTTAATTGTAATATCGGAGGTGATAGCTTGTACTTAGTGGAAAAAATATTATGATTGGTATAATCATTATCGTCAAGTTGAACGTTTTTATCAAAGTGGCCAAGAATTGATTAGTGGCTATATTTGGTGATTTCTCGAAGGGTTTTGATTGTGTGCATCACGAAACAAAGCTTTTCTGTCAATATTCAGTTCATATTCGTCAAGTTTGTAGTTAGATGGTTGGGACGAGCCAATGTCAGAAATGTCACTGAGATAGATTCGGGAGTGTCGCAAGGATCAGTTCTGGGCCTGTTTTTGTTTTCAATAATCAATCAATCAATCATATATACATATACGGTAATGACCTAGTAAATGTAAACATTGCTACTACGAAATAGCAGAATGTATCGAGCTTTTTTGTATTTATTTAGTCAACATTTCTGGTGATATCACATAATTTGTAGACGACACCATGATTTTGTGGAGGGGTAGAACCATTGACGATCTGAACCACAATATAAGTATCTATGTTGAGATATAAAAATTATCAAGTCCTGGTGTGATTCGAATCTCTCAACCGTTAATATTACAAAATATATACACTGTGTCCATAAAGTCACCCCCTCCCCCCTGGTTAACTATTGAACGGATGGGATTTTTTTTTTCAATTTTTTTTTGATTCAATGGTAGTTTCAGTGCTATACATATATTGTTCCAAAAAAAAATAGGTATCCTCCAAAATGGCGCCTGGGCGCCATTTTGGAAGATTTTTTAAATGGAGTGGGGGGTCGAAAGATACCTCGATTGAAAGGTCTTTCGATTCTCTATACAACCTCAGAATCTCAGACAAAAATATTCATCCAAAACAAAATGGCGGATGATAACGTTTGAAATCTCACACCAGAATTCTTTCGACTGGATGGCTATTAAAGTGCTCGCATGTGATCTTCAAATCTTTATTGGCGTATAGAAGAGTTCTCTATCTATGAAGATATCAATAGAAAGCCATTTTGAAGAGAATAAAATGATAGTCACGTGGAATGAACATTGTTCTTTATTTTGAATAAATATTTCTAAAATTTTGCAGAATTTGGAAAGACAATCGAGCAAAGGTAATGATTGACTACCATGTTATTCTCTTCAAAATGACTTCCTATTGATATCTTCATAGATAGAGAACTCTTCTGATACGCCAATAGAGATTCGAAGATCACATGCGAGCACTTCAATAGCCATCTAGTCGAAAGAATTCTGGTGTGAGATTTCAAACGTTATCATCCGTCATTATGTTTTGGATGAATATTTTCGTCTGAGATTCTGAGGTTGTATAGAGAATCGAAAGACCTTTCAATCGAGGTATCTTTCGACCCCCCACTCCATTTAAAAAAATCTTCCAAAATGGCGCCCAGGCGCCATTTTGGAGAATACATATTTTTTTTTGGAACAATATATAGCACTGAAACTACCATTGAAGCAAAAAAAAATTGAAAAAAAAAATCCCATCCGTTCAATAGTTAACCAGGGGGGGGGGGGGGTGACTTTATGGACACAGTTTATAATATCATATGCTTGAATTCAAAGAATGTATTAGATTTCTAGGTTTGCATATTAGCGGAGATTGAAATTTGATACATACCGGGTTAGTCGAAATTCGAGGTGCACGGGGATTTCAGAAACGTTGAGAGCTACAGATAGAGTTAAATGAAGGCAAAGTTGCGTATTTTATGACTAACAAGATACCATTTTGGAATTTGAAAAATTCCGATTACTTTCAAAATTTTTTTGAAAAGACCGAATATTCGCGATTTTATTATTTTTATTTGAACAGTTATAGCAAAACAGATTGAACATTCTCATTGCTACTTTTTCTGTTCTACAAGATGATATTATGCAGATTTTCATCTGTTAAACATCCAAAAGGAAAGCATGGAAAATAAAACCCTCTGAAATTGAGAATTGACAATCTCTCAAATATGAAAAATAATATGATGTATTATGATATAACAATATAACTTTACAATATGTTCAGAATTGAAATGAGAATTGAAATGTATAGGAGAAGTATACTTGTATAAACTCTGATCTCAATGAGCTTGGAACTT